GCCCCGTCGCTCCCATAACCACCCGCGCGACCGCATTCTGGACCAGCTGGCGCCTCCGGGTGCTCAAGGGGAGCCCCATGTAGAGAGCATTGCAGTAGTCCAGGCGGGAAGTGACAAGGGCATGAGTGACCGTATTTAACGAGTCCCGATTCAGAAAGGGATGCAACTGGCGAATCAGGCGAACCTGATAAAACGGCCTCCCGGCCACAGCCGTCAAGTGCTCTTCTAAAGACAGCTGTGAGTCCAGGAGGATCCCAAGTTGCGAGCCCTCTCCATGGGGGCCAATGACTCGCCCCCAATAGTCAGTGATGGCACCAACTGACTATATCGGGATGTCGGAAACCACAGCCACTCGGTCTTGGATGGGTTGAGCCTAAGTCTGTTCCTCCCCATCCAGATCCGTACAGCCTCCAGGCACCAGGACATCACTTCAAGGGGATCAAGGTAGGTAAAATGAGGACCCGGTTTGTGGGGGCAATAAGCTGACTTTGTATAAAAAAATAACACCGCTTGGGGGGGCCTGAAAGCCCTACTAAGCAGATATATACAAAAGTATGAAGGCTATTGCTTAACGCATTGTAAGCCTCTCTGAGTCTCCGGAAAAGAGCGGCATATAAATCGAACCAATAAATAAATCTGTCAGAAATGGTATAGGGTCTGCTGCTTGGGCAGAAAGCTAAACTAGATGACCTACAAGGTCCCTTCCAATTCTGTTATACATTGGCAACATAAAGTTTTATCTTGTCCCCTTCTGGCTTAGAGAAACTAACAAGACAAAAATTTAAAGATTTATGATTTCTACTAAGATTTATCTCGAATTGTAATGATCAACTAAGACAGAGGTAATAAAGTTCATGTTCTATAGTTGCTATAATATACAACTGCCATTAGTGTATCCAGCATAGGCAGTGGCAAGGGAGTTGTAGTCCAAAGTATACTGAAGTTATCTAGCTTGTGCAGCCCAGTTCCAAACGGGTTACAGCGCAGTTTTGGGCCAAGGGCCAGGGGTTGGAGACCCTTACCCTAATGGATCTCCAGGCCAAATGGCAGAACCAGGTCTTCAGGCTTTTCCTAAATATTACTGAAGTTTGTGGAACCAGTATAGCTTGTGTTTATCCCTGCATAGCTTTTATAACTACAATATAAGAACAAATTAGCAGAAACAAATCAAAACAAAAAAGCCAAGAACCACCAAAACAAACTCATCATGAAAGAAACATCTCAGATACCATACCTTGCTACTTGCTTTTGCAGACTTTTTCTTTTTTGAACTATCTTTCCAAAGAGATTCTAGGCTTATATATGCTTGTAAACTCCAGTCATATAGGCGAAGGCCAGTTACCTTTCAAAAACCAATGTTATGATGATAGTCATTTTAAGAGGTATACTTTGGCTTTATCAACTTCAATAAACAGTACATTTTTAAATTTAGGTAAGTAGTATAGCAAATCATGACAAATCTGTAATTATAAAGTAAACAAGACAGCAAGAAATAACTGCTACTTTATTCAACTTATACTAAGATACCTTAATCATATACAAACATTGATATTCCCATTATACAACATTTTCAATTTCTCCAGTGCCACCATAAAAGTGAATTTATAGGTCAGCCACAAGTATTGCTCAGTATGACTCTGTTATAATATAAATAAAGTATATAGTTGAGGTTTATTTGGAAAAGGTAGCACAAAACAAAAAAAGGATCTGATTTTCTTATCAAATTTGAAATAAACTGTAAGCAGAAATCTTGGTTTACATTATTGCTTATAGAAACAAAGAGAAATTCCTGTGCCTATTTTACATAGCAACATCTTGCACTTAATCCCATATTGACAAGCAGTATTTCCAGAAAGGTTTTGAGGGGCCTCAAATCTGTATAGAGGAGAGGACAATTCTTTTTCCTTGTGTAAACACCCTTAAATTTCCATGCTATGATTCAGTAGAAAACAAATTACAGAGTTACAACATGTGAACAGATGTAGCTAAAACTATGATTTAGAGAAGTGTGAGACTTGACAGAAACAAATGAAAATATTTGTTTTCTCTGAGAACATTTAGTTTAAAAACTGAAATTCTGAATTTCAGCTGCAAAAGCAGGTATACATAAGTTCTGTGTAATCATTAACAGAACCAAAAACTTTCACCCTTTAAACAATTTGAGCTACAATCATTTCACATTTAAAAGAATATTATATTTTCAGGACTCATATAATAGATGTCAAGAGTGATTCACTCTTTATCTGGTTACTTCTTTGCTCTCAGCTTGACTACAATCAGGAGGGGGATGGTTGGAATGTCTGGGGTGGGAATGGAATGCCAAAACTCTGCCTGCAGATTGTGAGACCCTTTTGCCAATCCCAAAATCATGCTGCGCAGGTGTTTGAATGATGCAAGCCGTTCTCATAGCAAAAGGAGTTGATTTAATTGGATAACACAATGAACTGAGGGGGGTGGCCAAAGGGGAAAAGCAAATTAAACTCTGTGGGCTTTCACGTGGGAAACTCAGAGATGGTTTTGTTTCTTCTGTGCCAATGTATTGTATTCAATAAAGTTTTACTTTTTGGGAATAACAATGTCCCAGGAGTTCTTTTTTTGGATTCGCTAGCTGGACAGCTGACAATCTATAGAGCTTTGTTCTATGGTTCAATATTTAGTGTTGGAAAATATTGTACGATCTCAAATTATATTCAAGAAAGGATGGCTATACAGTGCTAATATACTTTTTAAGATGCAACTGATTTAAGTAGACACACTTTATAGGCACCCCATAAAATTAATACACAAAGCTGCTGCAACTTGATATTTCAATATTTGTATTGTTTCATGAGCAACACTATCAAGCTATTTGTGCAGACTTAATTTTAGCATTTATAAAATAAAGAAACAAATTATTCAATTATGTAAAAAAAACCTGTCTTCAACAGAAAAGGAAAACATAACTGACGAGAAAAGAAACTACAGAAACCCACAAAGTTTTTTCATAAGAGGCTCTGCAGAAAAAAATAGTGATATTAAGTATGTGCTAATGAGAACATTTGGTCTCCTGGATTATTCATTAAGGAAATAGAATTAGACTTGCAAATTCCTAAAATCTCCTTAACTGATATACTGGGATAAATAATGAATAATGATGGACTGAAACTAAGTAGACTCAACTATGTTTGTATATGTGTGCACCCAGACATATTCACTCATGTCTATATTTACACTATATTTACCCAACACTTTGGACTAATTATATTATTTAAGTAAAATTACAAGATTTCAAGAAATATAAGGGTACAAAAAAAGGATTATCTTCAATAATTACCTTGGCAACAGCAACTGTTTGCTGTGGATAGTAGACAGCAATACCAATCCCCATGAAGCTTATTGGATACACCAATCTTTTAATTTTAGAACCTATTCCATAGAAGAAATGTTACTTCTAATGTATGATATACTGATGAAAGATGAAATTAAAAGGGCTTACTTACTTACTTATTTATAGTACGGCATACAATGTCAGGGAAATTTACAAATGCTACACACAATGCAATCCCGATAGCCTTAATTGATGGTTCATTCTATTTAATGCTTGTTGCCTATCCTTGGTGCACCACAGGGGACAAATTAGTTTATACTAGTTGACTAGTGGTTTCTAGGTTGCTGACTCTTCCAAGCTCCTCTGTTTGTCTCATCTCACCTTGCCTCGTGTTACGCTGTCTCGCATCCGGCTAGGTCCAGAGCCGGCTTCCCCTCACCGCACACACAAATGTAGTTAGGTTTTTCCTATCAAAGTGGTATCCATTTATCTACTTGCAATATTGCATGCTTTCAAATGGGTAGGACCTGGGGAGGAAGTGACGGGAGCACACTCTGTCTCACAGAACTGGGCTCGAACCGCCAGTGTAGACCATTTCTGGCCAGCAGTTCCAGCGTCATTAAGCCACTGCATCACCGTGTCCCCAAAGGGGCAGATTCTCAGCCAGATGAATTACTTTGGCAATAAGTAGATTGGGGAAAGTATGTTAAATGATGGCAATTAGATATAAAGATATAGGAAAACAGGATAGTGAAGAGCAAAGGAATACTAAACACTGTAGCAAGATGATGCAAGCCTGGCTTTGGTCATTGAAAGATCCTACCCACATATTCTTAATTTATAATTCGGTCTCCAAATTCTAAAACATCTTGAAAAGTACATATTGTCTAGCCACATAGATAGATTCAACAAGTGATAAAAGACTTGCTCTGGTAATTAAATGCTGTTTATGAATAACCAGTGTTTATACTGTGTCAGATTATTCATTTATCAATCTAGCCCAGAAGGATCTCTGATTAATAGCAGAGACAAGGTTTAGTCAGGATTCTTTTCTACCTCTACTTCATCTACTAGAGACTGAGAATTTATACCATATACAACATGTACCTTATAGCTAAGCCATGATCTTTAACATATGAATTCAGCAACAATATGAAAACAATGCTTACTTGTGATGTATCTCTATTATATACATAGTAATTGATGGCTTTAAAAGAGGATCATGATTTATGTAATGTTATTCTGTACAAGAATATGTACATTCTCACTGTATAAAAATGACTCATTAAATGCATAATCATCATGTTCCTTAATGGAATTTACTTTTAAATTAGTTGGTACAATTGTTGGTTTGTAATAGGTATTTTTACATTTTTATTATACATGGTCCTCTTGTCTGAAACATGTTGAGCTTATTCCAAATAAATTCTAATGCTGATGTATTGAAATTTTTATTTGTAATTTAATGATGGTAACACTCTGGTTGAGCATCACAGTATCAATTAATTGTATATTGCACTTTAAGTTCTGCTTTGCTGAAAGAGAAAATGGACACCAACATTTGAACAAACATTGAAAACAAACATACCTCTTGCCAAGAACAATCCAACAATACCAGCGAAACCTATAACACCAAGCCTTGGATAAAATCCTGGAGGTGGAGCTTTGATGATTTCATAACTCTCTTAAAAAAAACAGCATTACATTACCTATTTATACCCATTTACTAGAGCATTTAAATATTATTCCAGACTTTAAATTATTATTTTTATGTTTCCATTATCAATAGCTAGTTACGAAATTAGAAATACATTTGATATATTAATATCTAATATAATAAAGGTATATAATTAGGAAGATATTTGTGCGGTGTCCTTGTGACAATCTTGTTGGTAGATTAGACTAAGAAACAATGACTGACTAAGAAGTATCAATCAACTTTTATGTTTAATTACAATTTGAATCAGGTACACCTGCCATAGTCAAATATTAACAATTGGTTCTTTTGTTTCCCGTTCTTTACCTCTTGTCACTGTTCATTGGTAATTAGCATATCAAGATCCATTTCCCAGGTCAGCATTACATTTGAAATGTAACTGTATGGTGTGTGTTTTTTTTGTTTGTTATTTAAAAAGCTGTTTGTTCTCTTGGAATTTCCTGAAGTTTAGACTGGAAATTTTAAAAAAATTAAATGTAATTTAATTTTTTTGCATTCAGATTAAGACATTTAAAATTTTGATCAAGTTTTAGACTTTTTATTAGATTGACACACTTTATCATACAAGTAAATACAATATATTATACATTACTTTCTTGAAATCCCTTCCTCTTCAATGTGTGTTCTGTGAAAGGAAGAAGGTTAAGGAATAGGACATTGTTTAAAGAAATTGTGTGCTTTTTTTTACTGCACCCTCTCAGAGTGGTGAGTTTGAAGAGGAAAGGATTTATAGAGAGTAAGGTATTTGCATAGTGTGCCCACAATGTAATTTATTGCTTTTGATATGTGGAAGAATAAATAGCTTATTCTCTTGTAATTCCTTCCTCTTCAATCTCCCCACTTTGAAGGAGAAAACAACACAGATCAGGCATAGGACAATGCATATTGCCTGTAATGGCGATCATTGATTGAGGGACACTGTAAAAGTCATAAATTGTCTTAAATTGGTTATAAAGTTATTTTTTCAGTCCTATCATAACTTTGAATGGTTGCTGAATAAATAATTGGTAAGCAAGGATTATCCGTACTTGCTGAAATGTATGATAGAGCCTGTAGATTACTAACTTCTCTGTTAAAACAGTGGCAAATTGTAACTGAAGAAACGGATGTTCAGCAAGGACTACCTATATCATGAAATTCGTAAGAATTGTTCCTTATTGCTCACCTCCAACTCTCATGTTATTAAAGCAGCCTAAACAAATTTTTTGCTCAAGAAGTAACTTAATGAAATTATCTGAAAGAATGTTAAGGACTGTTATAATTAGGCAACAGGAAAATATATGCCAGGGGAATGTTAAAAGAGGAGAGAGAGAAAGAGAGGTATTGGGTTCTGGAACTGTTCAAGTAGACATTAAATAGCATTTATTAAAGATGCTTCAGTTTGGATTTCTACACAGAACACAGGGTTTGTACTCTGGATCCCAAATGGTATTTTCAACTATACAAACATTACTTACTTTCACTATAAATGCCTACATCTAAACTGAATTTAGATATCTGAAGTCTAATTATATAAAATATCTTCCAAATAATCTTTTTAAGTATCCTACTCTTATCAGAAGGGGACGTTGTCTTACCTGAATGTCCATTTTGTCCTCGATGCTCCTCCACTCCACTATATGGGTTTCCTTCACCGTCATTAGATCGACTAGGTGCCAATCAAATTTTCCTCCACAGCTTTGTCCCGCCTCCTCCAACTGCGCATGTCCAGTCTTTTCACGAAGTCCCTCCAGAACTATCACCAGACTGTAACCCTAGGAACTGCAGGACCTGAAGCATCGACCTCAATGTAACCTTCCTACACAGTCATCATGGTACTTCCACTGTAGAGGAAAAATAAAGAAAACCCCAGCCGGACCAGGTGATGGACAAATACTGGGCGGGTCGGAGTGGCGGAACATCGAGGACAAAATGGACGTTCAGGTAAGACAACGTCCCCTTTTTCTCCTTGATGCTCCGCCACTCCACTATATGGGACTTACCCAAGCCTAAGTCATTTGGGAGGGAACTGCACCCATCCCCTGGCCACGGCTGGGAATTATTGCTTGTAAAACCCTCCTGCCAAAAGCCGCATCTGCGGATGCAAATGTGTCTAATCGGTAGTGTCTTATAAAAGAGGATATAGATGACCAAGTGGCCGCTCTACAAATTTCGTCTATAGATGCTTGAGCGGCCCAAGCTACCGAAGTAGCCGCACTTCTCGTAGAATGTGGAACTATACCCCCAGGGACTTGAGAACCTTTCAATTTATATGCAGCAGAAATGCATAACTTAATCCATCTGCCAATCGTTGCTGATGAAACTTTCTGACCCATAGTTGATGGCAGAAATGAGACCAATAAGGCTTCTGACTTTCTGAATTCAGCTGTCCTAGATAAGTAATATTTCAGTGCTCGACGTACATCTAACGTGTGCCACCTCTTCTCCATCGGATGTTTCGGATCTGGACAGAAGTTTGGTAATATAATCTCCTGAGCACGATGAAAAATTGAATTGATTTTAGGAATGAACGTCGGATCCAGTTTCATGACAACTCTATCCGGGAAGAACACGCACAAATCCTTTCGAATTGACAATGCTGCCAATTCCGACACTCTCCTAGCTGATGTTATAGCCAACAAAAACGCTAATTTGACTGTCAGATGATGTACAGAGGATTCCTTGATGGGCTCGTAAGGTGCAGATGTTAAAGACTGTAAAACCAAGTTAAGATCCCAATTCGGAAATCTATGTACCACAGGTGGTCTTAAATTTACTGCACCATGCAAGAATGATTTGATTCTTTCATCATGCGTTAGAGGGTGACTCTTATCCGTAGATAGCACTGTGGCTAACGCTGCCACCTGGCGTGTCAGAGTTGCTGGAGCCAGACTTTTATCTAAACCTAACTGAAGGAATCTAAGAATGTCTTGAATGGACGCAGATGTGGGATCTGTATGGTGTTCTAAACACCAAAGAGCAAACTTTCTCCAAGTCGCGTTGTAAATACGAATTGTGGCTGGCCGTCTGGCTGCTTGAATAGTGGCAATAACATCATTCGGTAAATGGTCCTTCATGAGACGAATCCGTTCAAGCGCCAGAAGGTCAATTGCAGCCATTCCGGGTTTTGATGAAAGACTGCTCCTTGACTTAGAGAAGTACTGTCCAGTGGCAACTTCCATGGTTTGTCTATCGATCGATCCTTGAGGTCTGCAAACCACTCCCGACGTGGCCAGTACGGAGCTATCAAAATGAGGTCCGCCTTTTCGCCCATCATTTTTCTGATTACATGTGGAATGATAGGAATAGGTGGAAATGCGTAAAGAAGTCCCTTCAGCCAAGGGGCCCTCAGCGCATCTTGATCTTCTGCACCCGGAGACGGGAATCTTGAGAAGAACCTTGGGAGTTGTTTGTTCTTCTCTGTTGCAAACAAGTCCACTATCGGGGTTCCATACTTGGTCACAATCAGATTGAAAAGTCGTGGATGCAACCTCCATTCTGCCTGATCTATTATTCCTCTGCTCAGCCAATCTGCTTGTTGATTTAGTGAACCTGAAATGTGTTCTGCTCTTATCGATAGTACGTTCCTTTCTGCCCATGCCATCAATCTCTCTGTCTCGATCATGAGAGACTTGGACCTTGTTCCTCCCTGCCTGTTTAGGTGGGCCTTCGTGGCCATGTTGTCCGTGAGGATTAAAACATGTTTCTGCGCTACCTTCCTGTGGAAGTGTCGAAGTGCTAGTCTGACCGCCCTCAGTTCTAACCAGTTTATGCTCTGTTGTTTCTCGGTCAACGACCAAGTCCCTTGAGCTAATTGAGAGTCCAGATGAGCCCCCCATCCTAGCAGACTTGCATCTGTTGTCAGAATGACTCTGGCTGGTTCTAGAAACAGAGTCCCCTTGTATAAGGCTGGGGATAACCACCATTTCAGCAAAAGTCTCACAGATGGGGGAACCTTGATCTTTGTTAAGGAGTTGGCTACTCCTTGTTTCTGAAATGGCAATAGAAGCCATTGCAGCTGACAAGAATGGCGTCTGGCCCATGGTACAATGTTGGTAGACGAGATCAGTTTTCCCAAAAGTTGGGACAGCACTAACAGGGAAACTGTTCTGTGAGATAGTACCTGTGAAATCAAGTTCCTTATGCTGTTTTGTCTGTCGTTCGAAAGATACACCAGACCTTGTTTTGAGTCTATAATTGCTCCCAAGTGCAATATCCTTGTTGTGGGTACTAAATGACTCTTGTCCCAATTTATCGTGAGACCATGTTCTTGTAGCGATTTGATCACCCTTTCTCTGTCCAATTGAGCCTTTTGTACTGTCGATGACAGTATCAGTATGTCGTCCAAATAGCATACAATCTTACCGACTGCTCTCTGAGAGTGGCCGCCACTGCTGCCATCAGTTTCGTGAACATCCGAGGGGCTGATGATAGCCCAAAGGGCATAGCCTGGTATTGAAAATGTTGGGTTCCGTAAGCAAATCTGAGAAATTTGCGGTGCGCAGGGTGGATGGGAACATGAAGGTATGCCTCCTTCAGATCAATGGATTGCATGAGATCGTTTGATCGAACACATCCGAGTAATGTCCTCAAGGAATGCATTTTGAAGCGGCGGTACCTCACGTGGAGCTTCAAATGTTTCAGATTTAGAATACCCCACCATCCACCCGAGCTTTTGGGCACAAGAAATAAGATCGAATAAAAGCCCTTTGTCTCCTGAAGTTGAGGAACCTTTTCGATGGCTTCTATTTCCAGTAAATGCTGTATCTCCAGTTCCATGAGATGTTGTTTGGACTGAATCGATGGTAAGGGACATTGAATATAACAGGAAGGGGGAGATGAAATGAACTCCAGCTGAAGTCCGTCCGTTACAGTTTGTATTATCCAATTGTCCGTTGTTGACATTTCCCATTGGTGATAGAACAATTGGATTTTGCCGCCAATGGGAAGATTCATCAAGGAGTCATTTTCCGCGACGGAAGGAACGATAACTCGTTCCTCTAAATGGACGTTTGAACCCGGCCTGGCGTCTTCCCCTATCCCGAAAGGAAGATCTGTCTGTGGAGCTGTTGTATTGTTGGGAAGATGGACGTGAAAAATAGGACCCTCCGAATCCCTGCTCAGGACGAAATGGCTGACGGGGAAACGGAGAAAACCGACGATCAGGGCGTCTGTAAGATAAAGGTAATACTTTCTTTTTATCCCGTCCTTCCACTAGAATGGCATCCAAAGATTTTCCAAACAACGAATGACCTTGATATGGTGCTGATGTCAAGCGCCATTTTGATTTCATATCTGCGCGCCATTGGCGTAACCATAAGAGACGTCTAGAAGTAACAGTAGACGCAAGAGCTCTAGAAGCAAATTTTGCAGCGTCTAAAGAAGCATCTGCGGCATATTCCGCTGCCGCGATCAATTTGGCCATATCATGTTGGAGACGATTATCTTGAGGCGGAACTCTGTCCTTCAGTTGTCTGAGCCATACTAGTGAAGCTCTATTGAAAAAAGAAGCGGATGTAGCTGCCCTGATAGCCCAGGCTGCTGCTTGATGGGTTTTTTTGAAAGTTAGCTCCGCTCTTCTATCTTCCTGTTTCAAACCATCTCCCGCATCTCCAACTAACACAGATGACGAAGAAAGACTGGCTACTGGCTCATCTACTGATGGTACTGTAAAAGCGTATCTAATTTCGGAGATGCACAATAAAGCTTTTTTCAAAGTTATTGGGAGCTGAAATTGAACCAGGTCATTCCCAAGGTTTCTGGACAACTTGGGCAAATAGATCAGGATATGGAATAAAATCACAATCAGAAGTAGGTACTGGGAAAAGATTATTCATCGAATCAACCAGATTATTGGAAGGATTGGTTAGTATTATTGGTTAGTATCAATATCCATATTTGTAGCTACCTTCGCTTTGCGAAGGAGTGACTTAAATAGAGCGGGTTTAAATAGACCTTGGAATGCCGGCTTGTCAGCCACGTCCCCGTCATCATCAGATAGTTCAAAATCCTCCAGATTATCCTCTGGTTCTAACAGATCTGCTGTTCTACCACCTTACACAGAATGTGAATACTCAGCTCTAGGTGCGTGATAATGGCCAGTGTGGACAGCCACCGGGTCCTTAGGCACTACAGGTAAACCTGAGTGTTGTAAGCCTGCCTGGAAAATTTGGGTAAAAGTTTGGGCCAAAAAGGCCTGGACATCTATGGCCTGGTCAGCCAAGGTATCCTCCCCAAGTCTAAGTCCGGCCGCTGTTGGCGTGAAAGTGGCCTCTGGGACTGACCGGGTCAAATTTTTAAGGAAGGGCCCTGGTGGAACCGCCTCTTGTAATATAAATCCTTCTGGATTCTGGACCATATTCTGAACAGTCGCATCTGGGTCTGAAAGATTTTTTAGGTTAGAGACCGAATCCTGAGCCATGCTCTGTTGAACCTGGTCTAACTGGGGATGAAGTATAATTATGTCATTTTCCCCACTTTGAATAGTTGCCTGCGCCGAGCGCTTGGCCTTATCGAATTGTCTTTCCAAAGCATTATGTCTGCGCTGGTCTTGTCTAGTCATTCTCAAAGTCCCATCAGATTGAAAGGATTCATGATGGTGAGCATGCCCTGAAGCTTTGGTTTTAACCTTTTTTTGTCTCAGTGGCTTGGGGGAAGGAGCTCTAAGAGGAGATGGGGTCTGATCCAACTCGGAAGAAATTGCCTCCTCTGCCATAATCAGTCTCCCAACGCCCCCAAATTGGAATAAACAATTTAAAAAATATATACTTTCCTGTAATAAGCCAGTTGTTGATGATACTCAAAACAGTCAGGAGTTAGGACCCAGACCAAACGTTGGCACAGTCCTCACACTGCTTCTACCAGGCTCGGTTAGGCAGATAGCCCTCTAACCGCTCTGACAAGATGACAGTTGGGCGCAGTAACGGCGGTTAAAAATGGTGGTGCTATGAAAAACCGCCTCCAATTAGTGCCGTTTGATCCTTCCGGAATACTGTCAATAAACCGCTCGTCTTTTGGCGGCTTAAACCACTAGTTTGACAATTTGCCTCTTCCGGAAGCGACCTCCTGCTGATTCAAGTTTGCCGGCAAGGCAGGGACTGTAAAACCGCCGCTAAATTGAGGGCTATAATAGCAAGGGCGGTTCTGCCGGCGCGCCGGTTAACCAGCTCCACACTCGCGGCGAAAATCAGCTGAGGGAAAAGTTCGAACTTCCCTAAAGCTTTTAAATTGATCGCAATTAAGAGCAGCGGTAGGCGCCCCAGCCGGGAACGCCTGTCCGCGCAGCGAAAAAACACTCTTCCAATTAGTAGCCCTCTTCAAATTAGATCTAAATTAGTCGCTAAAACAATAGAGAAAAAGGCACTCCAGTCTGATCACCAGCGACTGAGTGAAAAGACTGGATATGCGCAGTTGGAGGAGGCGGGACAAAGCTGTGGAGGAAAATTTGATTGGCACCCAGTCGATCTAATGACGGTGAAGGAAACCCATATAGTGGAGTGGCGGAGCATCGAGGAGGAAAAGGGTGGTATATGACCTTATTCATAAAACAATCATAGGCAGCAGGAATGTAAGCAGATTGAATAATGAAGTTACTGTACTTTAAAAATATGTACAGTAATACAAGCACATAAGAGTATATTATAATATTTCCAAAATGTGTATAGTTTAATTTCTGGAAACATGCTCTCACCTTTAACATATTCACAGGCCTTTTCTACCTTAGGCATAGCTTTCCCAGTACAGTCCTAAAGAAGGCAAAGTTGAAACAACTATTAGTATGTTAAAATATTGCAGCATTTGTTCCAAAGCAATTTAAGTATGGGTATATAAGTATATAAGTACTGAAATTATTGTGTTTACAGTTTAGATTGCAAGAGAAACAGATTCTACTCAAATAATTTCTGCAATAAAAGCTACATGTTTATACAAATTATTCAGTTCTTGGGATGGTAACAAAATTAAATGCTATACCTGAACCCAAGCTGCATATGGCGCCAAAGAATGCCGCAGATGAAAAATAGTTTCTTCCAGTTGTGATTCTGGATCTTCCACATACTTTGATTTTGGTGATGGACTGGTATAGAGTGAAAGCTGTAAATAGCAGTAAATAGTTACTACTTATGTTCATGTTTCCATGAAAATACGACCTACCTCAAAAGTAAGGTGTAGCCTGATTTTTTTGGGGTGGGCATAAGGCCTACCCCAAAAATAAGCCCTAGAGAAGGGGGTGGGCGTGGCCAGCACAGGAGGCAGACCTTCTCTTCCCCGGTCACCTCATGGAGGCTCAGCCCCTTAATTGCGGCCCGCGGATCAGCTGTGCCAGCGAGGTCTGGGCAACTCGGCCCAGATCTCTGGAGCACCTCCCCAACCGCTGGCCTACCAGGGCCCCCTTTGCCAGTGGTCGCACTTCCCTGCATGAGCTTCATGGTGGCCCTGCAGCGGGACAGAGGAGGGGGGAGATTGCTCCTTCCACCTTTGCACCCCAGAACCCCGTCTTCCCTAGCTGCCAAGCCCCCTGCCTGCATCCTTCTCAATGGAGCAAGACGCACAGAAAACGTATGTGAACCCCTTGGGATTACGTGGAGTTTTGCATGAATTGGTCATAAAATGTCCTCTGAACTTCATCTAAGTCACAACAATAGAAAAACACAGTCTGCTTAAAATAATACTACACAAACATTAGATGTTGCCATGGTTTAATGGAACATAACATGTAAACATTCACAGTGCAGGGAGGAAAAAGTATGTGAACCTTTGGACTTAATAACTGGTTGACCCTCCTTTGGCAGCAATAACCTCAACCAAACGTTTCCTGTAGTTGCAGATTAGACCTGCACAACGATCTGGAGTAATTTTGGACCACCCCTCTTCACAAAACTGTTTCAGTGTAGCAATATTCTTGGGATGTCTGGTGTGAATCGCTCTCTTAAGGTCATGCCACAGCATTTCAATCGGGTTGAGGTCAGGACTCTGACTGGGCCACTCCAGAAGGCATATTCTGTGCTGTTGAAGCCATTTTTTTGTTGAATTACTTGTATGCTTTGGGTCATTGTCCTGTTGCATCACCTATCCTCTGCGGAGCTTCAGTTGGCAGACAGATGGTTGTACGTTTGCCTGCAAAATGTCTTGATAAACTGTGGAATTCATTTTCCCATCAATGACAACAATCCGTCCAGGCCCTGAGGCAGCAAAGCAGCCCCAAACCATGATGCTCCCTCCGCCATGTTTTACAGTGGGGATGAGGTTTTGATGTTGGTGTGCTGTGCCTTTTTTTCTCCACACATAGTGTTGTGTGTTCTTCCCAAACAACTCAATTTTGGTTTCATCTGTCCACAGTATATTTTGCCAGTAGTGCTGTGGAACATCCAGATGCTCTTTTGCAAACGTCAAACGTGCTGCAATATTTTTTTTAGACAGCAATGGCTTCCTCCGTGGTGTCCTCCCATGTACTCCATTCTTGTTTAATGTTTTCCTTATTGTAGATGTGTTAACAAAAATGTTAGCATGTGCCAGAGATTTCTGTAGGTCTTTAGCTGACACTCTAGGATTCTTCTTTACCTCATGAAGCATTCTGCGTTGTGCTCTTGCAGTCATTTTTACAGGACGACCACACCTAGGGAGAGTAGCAACAGTGCTAAACTTTCTCCATTTGTAGACAGTCTGTCTTACCATGGACACATGAACATCAAGGCTTTTGGAGATACTTTTGTAACCCTTTCCAGCTTCATGCAAGTCAACAATTCTTGATCGTAGGTCTTCTGAGAGCTCTTTTCTGCGAGGCATGGTTCACATCAGACAGTGCTTCTTGAAACCAGTAAACCCAAAACAGGTGTGTGTTTTTAAAGGGCAGGACAGCTGTCAGCAACACATCCAATATCATCACACTGATTGGAGTCAAGGTTGGCTCACTCCTGGCTCCAATTAGCTCTTGGAGGAGTCATTAGGCTAGGGGCTCACATACTTTTTCCTACCTGCACTGTGAATGTTTACATGTTATGTTCAATTAAACCATGGCAACATCTAATGTTTGTGTAGTATTATTTTAAGCAGACTGTGTTTTTCTATTGTTGTGACTTAGATGAAGTTCAGAGCACATTTTATGACCAATTCATGCAAAACTCCACGTAATCCCAAGGGGTTCACATACTTTTTCTTGCAACTGTACATCCCCAAAATGCTCAATCCAAAGCCTTCAGCCTTGCAATCCTGGGATATGCGTCTGTGCTCAGATTCCAAAGAAAGAAGGTTTGCAGGAAAATCCCCATCCCTCATTTTCCTGCTGATCGTTTTTTACTTGGGATTGCAGCACAGACACACATCCCCAAAATGTTCCAGCCGGAGCCTTCAGCCTTGCAATCCTGTGATGTGCATCTGTGCAGGGCTCCCAAGGAAAGAGCGATCCGATCCAACCTCGGAGAGTTATCCAGAGCTGGCAGCAATGTGCTCTCTCTCTCTCTCTCTCTCTCTCTCTCTCTCTCTCTCTCACACACACACACACACACACACACACACACAAACAAAGGTCCCTCACCCCCACAGGACAGCCACTTGACTAACCTGCTTTCCAGCTCCGTTCTCCTTTGTGCGTGCATGGCAAAAAAAGTAGTCTGTGGGACTACAGTTAAAAAAGTAGTTCAGACCTTCCAACTTCCCATGAAAAAAAAAGATCTCGCAAAGTTGGAAGGCCTGAACTATCGTATTTTTTTTACTGTAGTCCCACAGACTACTTTAGTTGCCCTGCATGTGGCAGCGGAGAATGGAGCTGGAAAGCAGGTTAGTGAAGGGATATGTCTGCCCTGGAGGGTGTGTGTGTAAGGGTTTGGCATGGGTGGCCTGGCTGAAGGGTGCGCTGGTGCAGGGAGCTTGGGGCAGCTCCGCATCCCCTGTCTTGCTTCATCCTCCACCCCCCAACTGCCTCTCTTCGTTCTTTGCAACATGCAGCCTCTCACAGTAACGAGAATTGCCTGCAATTCTTGTTACTGTGAGAGGCTGCACATTGCTTCTGGGAAGGGGAGGTTCAGTCCCCTTACCTGGTTCCCCCCCACCATTTCTCTTTCTCTCTCTTTCTCTGTCTCTCATATACACAGAGAGACATTTGATCGCTTGAACTGCAGTACACTTTTCGCCCAGAGGGAGAAGCAGACAAAAAGTGTTTGGGTGCCCGATAGGTGCCGACCTGCATTGTCAAGTGATTGGGCTGCTGAGTGCCGGCCTGCACGCCTACTCGGAGCTGCAGGTGCTGGGCTACAGCTATGCTGAACCCAGTGCTTTTCAGGCCCTGTACCTTGTGGCCACTGCAGCTCTCATGCTGGCTCTGCGAGGCAAGCGTGGGGCTGCCCCTGGTCGCCTATGGCAGCTCTGCAGCCATCTCACCTTCTGCCCTGCCCAGCCCAGCCTACCACCAAGCCCCGGTTGGTACCCAGCAGCCTCCACTACCTCCCACTGGAGCTACCTCACACACAGCTGGCATGAGAGCTGCAGCACCCACCAGAGCCTGGGCTGCAGCCTGGTACCTGCAGCACCGAGTAGGTGTGCAGACTGGCGCTCAGTAGCCCAAAGGAGACCCCTTCCAGCCGGAGTTCCATGTTCAGCCAGGGAGTGGTTCCTAGGACCACCTGATTCTCAACCAGCCAGCAGCATGATTGCAGGGGGCTTCCTGCCCACCTGAAAGAAAGGCTGTGTTGTGTAAAGGGGCTTCCCCCCCCCCCAAGACCCTCTAAAGCACTGGGCTGTGGCTCCAACCCAGGGAGCCTCAATCGGGACCAAGCTCTTGGCACGCCCCAGCCTCCACCCACCAGGAGGACAAAGAGCCCCCGCGAGGCCAGCAGCAGCATGGGCAGCCACTTAGCGGCCAAGAAGTGCCCCAGCAGCAGACAGGGCAGGTGGAGGCCAAGGCATGCCAAGGGTTTGGCCCGTTGCAGCTGCAAGCAAGCAGAGAGCGGGGGCCAGCAGTAGCTGCGCTGCCACTCCTGTTGGCCTTTGCGCTTGCAGCCTCCTGCACATCAAAAAAATAAGACCTCCATGAAAAAAAGCCTGTGTGTTTATTTTGGGGTCCAAAAGAAAATAAGACCGGATCTTATTTTCCAGGAAACATGATAAGTGTGTATTGGGGGGTTCTCCACATGGGAAATTCTTCTACATAAACCACAATGAGGCAGCATTGCAACACTACAACACACCTTCATAAAAAAGAATAACTTCATTAGAAAAGAAGAAATCTAAATTATGATTTTACATACTGAAATTAGATAATGAACGAATAAGAAAATCATTCAGAGAAAAGATAGACTCATACCTCATCAACTTTTAATAGGTTCTTTTTGGAGGATTTATTCTCAGCAGAATCAGCATATACATGTACAGCAAGCAAGCTTAAGGTACCAGGTGCAGCAATCAACTGCCTTATCTAAATATAATAAAATGGGGATATTTCATAGGTTCCAATGGATTTGAACAGATACATATTCGCAATTCAAACATGAATTAAGCAAAGTTATTGTGAGAAAATGGATTATTCCTGAAAAAGCATAACCTGAGTAATGCCATATTTAACCTTTATATATATATTTCATGAATCCTGATGTAACCTCATAATCAGGACATGAGTAGGCAGTAAAGTTTGGAAAGGAAAAAGGGAACTGTAATGTTCCTATGATGCT